GTGCCTGGAGGTTTCGGTAGACTGCTTGCTCCTGAGGGTCGATGGGCTCGGGAACATCGCACAGGAGCATTTGCCGCAGCGGTGATATTCTGGCTAGCCCGAGCGAACTGTGGGGGTCGTTCCCCTCGTTTATGATGTCATGCTGGACCTGACGAGCATGACCCCGGGCGTCGCCTGCCGGGTCAAGGGTGCGGGGCGCAATGTGCTGTACCGAGCGTGCCCTTGTGCCCACGCGAGGGGCCCCGCACGAGGGTCCGGAGGGGTGTGAGTCTCTAAGGACTCCGCTACCACCGGTGGCTGTCCCGGAGCGTCCACCATAGCGCACTCCCGGGACGGACGGTGGTCAGGCGCCACGTCGCCGATACTAGAGCCGTCGCTCTCAACCTCGTCATCCAGGAGTTCGTAGAAATAGGTGGGAGCATAGCTCGCCACCCCCACGAATTTGGATGTGAAAGGAGACGGCATCAGCATTTTTCGGAGTCCCCAGGCATACGCGTCCGTGGAGGACGCGAGGCTATAGGGGAATCGGTCGAGCGGCGGTTGTGGTACGGACAACGCGGTCCCTCTGGATAAATGATGGAAAATAGTAAATAGCGAGTAAATAACAGTATGTGCATTACTCACAGCGGGGTTTGAGCAGAGAGTTTGCTCGGAATGATGCTCAGATGCCACATCGTCGAAGTCATCGTGCGTCCTAGTGCCAATGAAGGGCGCCCCTCCGACGGGCGCCAGAACGAGTGTCTCCTCGTGGGGTGTAGTACGCTGAGCCGGTCGGCGACGAAGTCTAGGCTTTCGAAGAGGAAGACCCGAGATGGCTCGAAGACAGGTGGAACCCACATCCCAACAGGTGAGAGTGTGAGAAACTCCAGTGAGCCGAAGCAAGTCGTATCGCTTGAGCCCGCCATAGCGATGGTGGTGGAAAAATGGGCCATCCGATGACCAAAAAGTGTTGAACGTACAGCTTTTTCCCCACGGACGACGCCAACTGTCGGTGCAGAAAGTGACCAAAAAGTAAATATTTGTAGTTTTGTCGTACGTTGTGATCGGAGGTGGCCTAGCACTCAATGACACAGGGTTTATACTAGTTCAGGCAACGTGCCCTACGTCCAGTTTGAGTCAGTCAGTGACTTTATTCCTGAGCCCAGGTGCTCAAAGTTTGAAGTGGGGTTACAAACGAGAAGGAGAAAGATGGGGTGTACGAGAGGTCCGGTCGAACTCCGGTCGAAAGGGCCGAGAGCGATAGGAGCTCCGCTATGAGCTAAGTGTTCAAGCATGTGCTTGAGGTTCGAACCTGGCGGTTCTGTGGTTGTGAACTTGGTCGATCTAATGAATCTGGAATGACTTGAACCTTATTGCTGGGAAAGAGCGCATCCCCTTTTATAGACGAAGGGGATGGCTTTACAAGTGAGAGGGAAATAGTATGTTTGTTTCTAAGCCTTGCTGCCCACGCCGGTAGGTACAGGATGATGGTAGGCACCCACAACACTGTTGGATGTTAGATGCACGCGGGCGGTTATGTCGTCTTGTTTGGGTATGGAAGATGTCGGTACCTGCATATATTGTTGATGCCCAGAGGCATGTGAGGAGTTTCACCATGTTCACTCGGTACGATAAATCCCGGCGCCCACAACACTATCGATACCCAGAGGCATGTGGGGGGTGCCTTACTGTATGGGAGTTAATGGTGGCCACAATACTGTAGGGGAAAATGTCGGCGCCAACAACACTATTTGTGTTAGGAAGGCTGCAGAGTACTGTTTTATGTAGGTGTACAGGGTACGGTCCCTGGTATCGTGGTTTGACTTGTGCGCCTAGCCTTGCTTTCTCCGTTTGTTCCCTGGTCCTTTCCGAGCGGGCGTCCCCAGTCGATTGGTCCCAGTCAGCTCTGGTTGCACCAGACGGAGAAGAGAAGTGAGTAGGGTTTTGGTGTACCCCGGTCGGAGACGTGGGGTCGGAGTTGGAAGTAGTGCTTTGACCAGGCCTTCTGGTCAGAGAGGCCGTTCGGAGGCATGCTGGAGATCGAAGTGAGCGCTTCGGTCGGAGAGGTGGGCCGGAGTCAGAAAACGGGTGCCGCTCCTCCTCAGCTAGACCTTCCAGTCGGTGATTGGATTGCCCTTCTGGCCTTTTGTTCAGATACTTGGGCCAGCCCATGAGTTGCGCGCTGTTCGCTTGGGCCTTGCCTTTGTTGGGAAACCGGCCCACGAGGGACCCCGGGTTTATGAACCCGACACATCGCCTAGATCAAACTTACACATCGAGAGGAACTCCCCGTTGACCTTCATGAGGCCAGCCCAAAACTGAGAATCCCCGGGCATGCATTGAACCTGTATTAAGGTTTTGTCCCTTAAATATTTATTCGTAAGTAATTGCTGCTAGACCTATCTCCATTAATTAGTTAAAAAAGCCATTTGCTTAGGAGACACTTATTGTGAACATCTAAATTTAAGACTCCCAACCCTCTTTGGTCTTTGGGTGTACAAACTACCTCCCATTTCGTTAATCTATATTTTTTCTTGTATTCATCACTCTGCCAAAAAAATCGAGATATAAAATAGTCCAACTTTTTCAAAACCCCTCTAGGTATTTCAAAAAAGGACATCATGAACATGGAAAGACTGCTTAGAACATAGTTAATTAGGATAAGCCTCCCACCTACCGACAACATCTTACTCCTCCAACAGCTTAGTCTCTTTTGAAATCTTTCCTTAACGTGTTTCCGGTCCCTATTCATGAGTTTTCTATGGTGCATAGGAATTCCTAGGTATCTAAAGGTTAACGACCCTACATTACACCCAAAGGTTTGAGCATGCTCATTTTGATTAGCTTTAGCTGCTCCAAAGCAAAACAATTCGCTTTTATGAAAATTGATATTTAACCCTGATAACTGTTCAAAAGCACAAAGCAAGAGCTTCATGTTTTTGGCCCTCTCTAGATCATTATCCATAAATATAATAGTGTCATCTGCGTACTGAAGGACCAAAAGTCCGTCCTCTACCAGATGGGGAACAACCCTTCAATTTGTTCAGCTTCTTTTGCTCGAGAAATAAGGATAGCCAGCATATCAACCACTGTATTAAAAAGGATCGGAGATAATGGATCTCCCCGACGCACTCCTTTCCTTGTTTGGAAATAATGGTCTAAATTATCATTGATCTTTATTGCAACACTCCCTCTAGACATGACTTTTGAAATCTATTCACACCAAGTTGGTGAGAATCCTTTCATCCCGAGGACTTGCTGTATGAAAGGTCACTATAGCTTATCATATGCTTTCTCAAAGTCTAGCTTTAAGATGTCACCATTTTGTTTTTTCCTATACAACCCATGAATAGTTTCATGTAAAATCACAACTCCTTCCATTATATAGCGACCCAGAACAAAGGTCGTCTGAGACGGTCCTATCAGCTTGTCAGCCACTTTCAAAATTCTATTATTTAGCACTTTCGTAAAAATCTTAAAGCTCACATTTAAGAGACAAATATGCCTATATTGTTGTATCCGAATTGCATCAGAGATCTTAGGCAATAAAGTAATTACCCCAAAGTTTAAACTATGAATAGGCAATCTCCCAGCATGGAATTCATAAAAGAGGCTCATCAAATCCGTCTTCACAACCTCCCAAAAGAATTAATAAAATTCAGCGGAAAAGCCATCCGGACCACATGCCTTGTTATGTTCCATATCAAAGACTGCCACTTTAACCTCCTCCTCACTGAATGGAGCCACCAATACTTCATTCTCCTCCACCGACACTTGAGGTATGTCATGCCTCAAAGTCTCGTCCATTGAGAAAGAATTCTGTACATGAGGTCCAAACAGTCCTTTATAGTACTCAGTTATATAATCTTTCAAGTTCGCGTCCCCTACAATAATTCCTTCTTCATGTTCTAGCTGTACAATTTTTGTTTTCCTGTGTCTCCCATTTGCCACCATATGGAAATACTTAGTATTATCATCCCCTTGCAATAACTTTGTTGCTTTTGATCGTTGGAGCCAATATATCTCCTCCTCTCTGAGCAACTTAGTTAATTGCTCTTTAAGATGATGTCTAAGTCCCCCCTCTTGAGGTGACAACAAATTAGTCTCTGCCTTTCTGTCAAACACATCTATCTTAGCCAACAGATCTGATTTAAGCCTTTTGTTTTGGTGAGCCAAATTCCTAGCCCAACCTCTAAGGAAACGTCGCAATCTCCTACTCTTATTTAGCCACCGTTCCATGGGTGATCTACCCCTATTTTCAGACTCCCAAACCTCCTTCACTAACTCAAAGAAACCATCCCTTGACAGCCACCCTAACTCAAATTTAAAATTTCTAACGTTGCCTCTATGAGATGGTTCCCCTCCATCTAGCAAAAGCGGTGTGTGATCTGATATTTCCCGGGTGAGTGCCTGAACAGAAGCAAGCGAAAATTTTTGTTCCCACTCTGTTGTTACCAAGATACGGTCTAGCTTGTCATAAGTTGGAACCTCCGCATAATTAGCCCACATGTATTTTCTACATGTCATCTCTAATTCTCTTAAATTCAATGTTTCAATAATAGCATTAAACAAAAGTGGCCACTTGTTATTATATCTTGAGTTGTTTTTTCTGATGGGTTCCTGATTATATTAAAATCTCCCCCTACTAAGAAAGGTAGATCTCCACAGCTAGTACACGCTCGTGCTAGTTCTGATAGAAGTGTTCTTTGTGCTCCTCTTACGCTGCGCCATATACAGACAAGAGGGCCCATCGAAAACCATCTACTTTGTTTTTGAAGACAAACTTGATATGGTAGTCACCATCGATAATATTTTTAACTTCAAAACATCCTTGATTTATTCCCATTAGCATCCCCCGGGGGCACCGCCAATGCCAAACAAAATCAGCCCCCGCACAAAATTTTTCTAGACACTGAGTCGAGAAACTATTTCTGTTGGTTTTTGATAAAGCTATAAAATCAAGTTTAATATCTTTGGCCATATCATGTAAAAAAGTATGTTTAGCCAGGTCACGCAACCCTCTACAGTTCCAGAACACACCTTTCATTGGAATAATTTTTCTTTGCAGCGACCTTCTTATTGAGGAGTTTCTTTTTCTTCTTACTCTTTGCCACCTTGATGGGTACATCAACAAGTACTCCATCAAGGCCCGCACTATTTTCGTCCATCACCTCCTCCGTCAAGTCGCCACAAAGTCGACTGATAGTGGAGGTGTCAGGATCAATCTCATCTTCCTCAGAATCAATTTCGTTGTCATGTGTAATTAAGAGATTAGAAGGTTTCATCCTTTCTTTTTCTACCTCTTTGATTAACGTTACAGACCCAAGAGTTAAATTTTCATTGTCATACAAACTGATCCCCACTTCCTTTAAGTTTTGCTCAATATGAATGTTAGAAAAAGAACAAAATGAATTTATTTTCGCATTACCTTCATTTTCCTCAAGGTTCTTGATGGCAACCCTTTTTCTGCTTTCTCAAGAGAGTCAACATTAGCCACGCCCGCATTCCGCTTGCTGCTCCGCACTGGGGTAAGCTCACCATCTGATAAAACCGCCAATGTCATGACACTCCCCAGTTCTTTTGTTGCCCCACCATCAGCTGAGACTCCGGCTTCTAACATGGCGTCAAGAAGGGCCCCAAGGTGTTGAGCACCATCTGCAATCCCTCCTGCTGCCCCATCGGACTGTCCCATTGAAACCTGCACTTGTTCCTCCTCAATCATGAAAGACGACTGCTTGAGACTTTGCTGTGAGTCAAGGGTTGCACCCACGGTTGCACCTGCATTCTGTGCCACGAACTCCTCTATAGGCTGCTGCTTTTGGCCCATTGCACTGCCTGAAGCCGACCCCTTCTCCTGCACCTTCGGCTGATCCACCATGCCCTGCTGCCCGCCCGGCCTGACTAACTGTGAAGGCCGCTGCAGTAAGCATCCTGGCGCAAAATGGCCTGCCACAGATGTAGCACTCTTCACATTCACCGAGTGACCCCTTTTCACTCGTACAAAATCACGTGCCACCTCACTTAGTTCATTCTCCTCGCCTAACAAATCATCCTCAGAGAAATCTATATACATCTGTGCCTCAGGGACATTGACTTCTTTTCCTTTTATGCTATTATTCCCTGCAGTTCCCCCACTTGCATCCGAAGTAAGATTACATCTATTATTTTGTGGCTCTCTCATTTCATTGTCCTTTGCTGCCCCATTGGCATGATCACCGTTCCCATCATTTTGGGTGCTCCAAATGCTCCGCAACCCAATATTTGGCAAGTAAGGTTCAACCTAAAAGATCAATTGGAAATATCTATTGCCAATAATAACATCTAGCTTGGTCGGAATTGCCTCAGGTTCTAGCACAGCCACTACGAACCGCCCAATCCTACTCGCTCTGGTAGTCACCGTATCCACTCCCTGAGTGACACCAAAAAGAGTTCCTAGTACCCATAGAATAACATATTCCTTTAAAACTGTTGGGAGGCTCATAACATGTATCCAGACCACTGGTAGAGTGTGTCCAAAATACTCTTCTTCTTCCTTAAACTCTTAAAACTTAAGAGTCACTCCTTCTTTCATTTCTGCATTAAATCTCATCTTTGTAAGATCTCCTTTTGTTGGAAAAAGAGCCTTGAAATCGGAACCACTGTGCCGTTTCACTTCCCAAGCAAAAGTGTCAGAAACCAACACACGCAAGAATGCAGCAACATCCTCTTTTGTTAAATTTTTGCCAGAAGTCGAAATTAAAGCCATTCTAGAATCTCTCTTTGTTGGTTGAATCGGTGGATGCGGAATATGAAAACCGGCAAGTACATCAGCAGCCTGACCAACCAACTGGGCTACCGGTTTTGGTTGTTTAAGAATCGGGCACCGACTCGTGGCATGCTCAGTGCTTCTACAAATATCACAAAACACTGACGCCGTGCAATCGAACATCAGGTGTCCCTTCACTCCACACCGTCTGCACATTTTAGTAGTGGCTGTCCTCTGGATCACACCCGCAGCACCAGCAGTAGTCGTACCAATCACCGAGTTCTCGACATGTACCTCACCTGTTCCTGTAGCCGACGAGGAGCCCTGCAAAATTTGAGATTCTTGTATGTTTTTCAGTTCTAACCATACTATGTTCAGTCCCAGCTGCCCCTTTCCTTGGTAGCTGCTGCTGATCGACATTGACGGCTTGCTGCTCCTGTAAACCCAGCCCCGGTTGTGGCAGTGAAGACTGAACCATCATCCCCGAAGCTACCGGTTGGATCTGAGGTATATGCTGCTGTTGATTCTGAATCAGCCCATGCTGCATCACATGTTGTTGCTCTTGTCCATGCTGCTGCGGTTGCCCATGAGTCGGTATCTGCTGTCGTTGCTGTCCTTGCTGCATCACATGCTGTTGCTGTTATCCATGCTGATGCCTTAGTCTGTGAATCGGTACTTAGGTCTGGTTTAGATTGGGGTTAGGAATTAGTATTTGGCACTGTAGCACTTTCGTTTATATTTAACAATTATTGTTCAATTATGGTCTAACTAGGCTCAAAAGATTCGTCTCGTAATTTACAATCAAACTATGTAATTACTTATTTTTTTATCTATATTTAATACTTTATGCATGTATCCAAAAATTTAATGTGATAGAGAGAGAGTGAAAAAACTTGCTGCTGTGGCAGTCCTTGAGGTGGCACCCGTTGCCGTTGATAACCGCTAACTCGGTACCCGCCATTTCATCCGCGAGCTCCATTGTCTCCGTGCCTACCTCGTCATCCTGGCTCATACTCCCACATGGGACCATAATTAGGCGGATGAACGTGAAGTAAGACTGTGTTTAGCTCGTGAAATTTGAGAATTTGGTTATATTAGTATTTTTGTTTTTATTTGGTAATTAATGTTTAATTATGAACTAGAAGACGTCCGTCTTGTGATTTTCAATTAAACTGTGTAATTAATTTTTTTTCGTCTATATTTAATGCTCTATGCACGTATCGTAAAATTCGATGTGATGACTCTATAACATTTTTTGAGAAACTTTTTGAACTAAACGTGACATGGCCTTAGGATTGAAGCGCCGACTGTTGAAGAGCGCGCCGTCGTCCTTGTAATGACTGTAGCCGTATCCAGCTGACCAGGTCCGTAGCCGGTACCGTTGCCATGACGACCACCACGCGCGCCGCCACTGCGTCCACCGCGACCCGCTCCATACTCCCTTCCTCCAGTGCCAGCACCCTCATTGCAGATGCTGCTGTCCCCCGCACTACCCGCTCCCGCCGCTGCCATGCCTTGCTTGTGTCGTGAGCCCCAGGTCCCCGCACCCGCAGCCAGGCAAGTGACCGACCGTTGCGCACTTGCCGGGCACCCGCCGCCCCCTCCCAGAATCCTCTTCCTCCTCCTTTCCTTTTTAATTAGGAGAGGATCAGGAGGAGAGGAGTAATTCATCCATCCATGATCCATGCATCCACCAACGACTGGTTACCCAGAGCAGAGGACAGGCAAGAAGATACTAGTAGATTCTAGCTAGGAGTAGATCATCAGTTTCCCATTCAGTCCTAGTCCTTCTCCTTCGGGGAAGGCGAAGGCAAGGCAACACGGAGCCGGAGGCCGCCGGAGCCGTGCTCAGGTGGCCAGAGGAGATTCCGCATCCGCTTCCGCTTCCGCCCACCGGATTCATTCATTCATTCCACAACCCCTCCTCCCTCCCTCCCCTCTCCTCGACTCCTGCGGCTGCCTGTGCCTGCCCAAGGAACAACAAGAAGCCGCCAGCGCGCGCTAGCTGCAGATTGCAGCACACGCAAGGGAACGGAGGAAGGCAGCCAGGCAGGCAATCCAGAGACAGCACATCCACCCCGCAAGCGCAAGGTGAGACAGCACTTATCTTCTTCTTCCCCCCCGCCGCTTTCCGCTTCGCAAATCGCAAATCCTCTTCAGCCCTTGCGGTACCCGGTACGGTACGTATGTCCTTCTCTCTTCCCCCACCCAACATTAGATCCATCCATTCATTCAATCAATCGTCACACATGCAATTCAATGCTGCTTGTTGCTCACCTCCACCTCCACTTCAAACTTGGTTTGGTTTTTACATCGGATCAACTCATCAATCTATCCAGAGATCGCTCAACTGTATGTACAAATAAATGTTCCTGATTTGTTCCGCTTCTCTAGTTCACCAGCTAGCAGCTAACCTGCTGCTGCTTCATCTCACGAATCATGATGATGCATACAAAGGCAGATGCAGATGCCTCCGATTCGCATCAAATCCGCCCTCCTCCCTTCCGTCTCCACTCTTCCGTTTGGTCTCTGTTTTTTACGATAGAGACACGATCGGATCTTAGTCGTTAAGTCACGCCCTTTTCTCCGGAGGGGTTGGGGTTTGCTCAAAACATCCTCTTTTGCATTCCAACTAAATCTTCTCCACGACGCGTTTGATAATATAATAAATGTTAAACATAATATGAAATAACAAGCGCAGCTTAGCTCTTTTTTTTTTTCCTTTCCTTTTTTATTCTTTTATCCATTTCTTTTTTCATATATTTGTTACTGATTATACTTGGGACGGAGTGGTATATATATGGGATGAAGAGGCTGGGATCAGAGAATATATATATATATATATATATATATATATATATATATATATATATATATATATATATATTACAAGGAGTACTAGTGTAGTATGTTGGCAAGGCAGTGGCAATGGCAATGGCAAGGACATCTTCCCTTTGGTCAAAGACTACGACGATCCTCCTCCTCTGCCTCGTCCGCGCTTTGTGATGTACTCCCTCAAGTCGTTTTGAGGGTGACGTGAGCTCAAGAAGCCCAAGCAAGTAAGTTGGGAAGGGACTTGGGAGGCTAGCGGCACCGAACGCAGTGGTGGTCAAATATTTTAAACTTTATTATGATACAAATAATATAATTAAAAGGAGGTTGAGTTTGAAAATATAAAAGGAAAGTGATACAAGCGTCAAATTTCTCATCCATACATAAATGGAAATTCATCTTGAAATGTAGTTTCATAAAAGTAAATATTAACTATATTTTATAAATACGCCCTTTTTTTATAGCAAACTTACGACGCGTTTGATAATATAATAAAGCACATAATAATACAAGCGCAGCTTAGCTCTTTTTTTTCCCTTTTCTTTTCTTTCTTTCCTTTTGTTTTCTATATTTGTTACTGATTATACTTGTACATATATATGGAATCGATTATATATATATATATATATATATATATATATATATATATATATATATAAACAAGGAGTACTAGTGTAGTATGTCGGCAAGGCAGTGGCAATGGCAATGGCAATCACATCTTTCCCTTTGGTCAAAGACTACGACGCCTCCTCTCTCCCGCGCTTTGGGATGTACGGAGTATGGATGGGGGTAAAGCCACCAGCTTTCGAGACCGTTCACATGCTTTGTTCCACTCCATCCATTCGGCAACGCTACCAGGCCCCTCACTTCCGTTATCTGTTCCTTTCCATGAGCTGTCCATTTATTTAAGACATATAAGCAGGATCGCAGTCGTCATCCACCCATTGATTGCTGTGTGTGTCACCTTCCTTCTCCCCTGTGGCACTCAACACCGCCTGTCGTGGTGTCCAGCATCATCTATTGATTTGATTATCATAATGTTACTAATGCATTGCGTCTTATTCTCGTGCCACACGCTCCCAGTCTGGCATAATTACCTTGCCCCTGTCTCAACTGATCCTGGGAATCTAATAAGCAACCACAAATTCATGTGTCTGCAATTCAATTTTCTCTCACAATCTCGCTTCCTCTGGGGTCATCATGCTGGTTTTTTATTCTTGTGTCTGCGATTCAGTTTTCGCTTACAAAAAAAAAAGCTTTGCTTCCTCTGGGGGCCATTATGTTTTTTTGGGTCATATGGTTCGTGTCATCCTTACTTTGTACAGTTGTTTTGTACAAGCAGGAGTTAGAGGGCAACCATGACTTCGCTTGGTGATTTCAACGTATTGACTGCCCTTGCCTTCTTGCTCGCATTTGCATTCCTTCGGTTGCAGCCCATCAACGACAGGGTCTACTTCCCTAAATGTTACCTCAGGGGAATGAGAGACAACCCAGTCGTCTCTGTGCGGCTGTGCAGAAGTTTGTCAACTTAGACGGGAGATCCTACTTGAAGTTTTTAAACTGGATGCCGGCTGCTCTCAAGATGCCCCAGGATGAGCTCATTAACCATGCAGGCCTTGATTCTGTGGTCTATCTACGGATATACATAACCGGGTATGTTGAATGTCTTCTCTATGTTCTGGTTAGTCATACTGTTATCTCCTGCTGTTTATCTCTCTCCCCAACAAACTCACATGCATAATGATTTAGTGCTAAGTTGGGCATCTTATACAGGTTCGCATTGTTCAATCTTCTAATATCTTCCATCGCTGTTTTCCCTGTCTTTCGATGTCTATGCACTAATAGAATTCTTACTAATCACTGCAGGCTCAAGATATTTGTTCCAATTACAGTTCTGGCTTTTCTTGTTCTGGTCCCAGTCAATTGGACCAATGATACCCTAGGACACAACAATGTAGTCTACAGTCCTATCGACAAACTTTCAATATCCAATGTACCTAATGGGTCTAAGAGGTGAGCAACAGATCATAAACTAACTATTTCCAACTCTATAGTCACACTTTCTACTTTTCTAGGTTTTACACCTAGCTTAAAAGGCAGAGGCGTGGCCGCATATTTAATATTCTCCATGTTTTGTTCAGGTTTATAGCTCACTTGGGCATGGCTTATGCCATCACATTTTGGACCTGCTATGTACTGTTTAAGGAGTATGAAATTATTTCGAAAATGAGGTTGCGCTTTCTAGCTTCAGAGAAACGCCGACCAGACCAGTTCACCGTATGTTTTTTTTTTAACTCTGCTACTCTGTTCCTGTTCATTATAGTAGGTTTGGATCCATTTGTTTACTTTGTGTTGCATATCACATTGAATAGTTGAAAAAGTAGAAATGCTCTGGTGTAAAATTACAATCGATAATTTAACCAACTCTGGACTTTAATTTTTTGCATTCTCAAAATTCATGTTGTCATGTAACAAACTGAATTTATGTTCACATCCATTATTACTTGGTCTAAGATTTTGATTTTATGGGGTGTACAAATAATTAGGAACTTGTGCGAATGTTTCTTCCATGTTCCAGATAAATTGCATTCGAATCTTGTGGCTGCAAATCCAACATGTTTCTTTAGATCCCTTTCTGGAAGTCAAAATGTCTTCGTACCAGAACTATTTTTAAAGAGTTGTCATGATAAGTTGATGTGCCTCTGAGTTCGTTAATTCAAAGTTACTAATTTGCCAATGTGTTTTAGGTCCTTGTGCGGAATATACCACCAGATCCTGATGAATCAATCAGTGAGCTTGTGGAACATTTCTTCCTTGTCAATCATCCCGATCATTATCTAAGACACCAGGTACTTCTACTAAACTGTGTCTGACTACATTCAGATGGTTAATGCTCCCTGCATTGCTATGGTTTTGCTCTTTATAATTTCTTTTCATCCCATTATTAACGTGCTTAGCGGCTTGTGATTAGCATAATGCAAATACAGTTGCTCTCCATTATAAATTTTTGTGTTTTTCCAAATAACGAGTGATTTAAAAAATAACTCTTTTATTAGCATGATTCTAATGTAGTTTCTTTTATAACTCTTTTGCAAATAGCGAGTGAATTTTAAAAAGAAGGTATGCCACGCAAATAATAGTTGTATTACATTGAGCCCAGTGCATAGGACTAACACCGTACTTTAGTAGGCAAGCAGTAGAATTCATATCTACATATATGCAGTCCTGGGTAGCTTGGGCGGCAAGAAAAAGTCCCAGCCCAACTGCAGTTACAAGGCCCAATATGGCTATACGGCTAATTCTAACAAAATAACTCTTGTTTCTGCAAATTATGAATGATCTGAAAAGGAAATGGTAAGCATAAATAAGATGTTGTAGAATCTATGAGATTGAGTAGATCAGATTTAGGTTGGCATATGCATTATACCATTTTTCTTTGCTACTTTCACATTTCACGCATCTTCTTTTCGTCCCAGAGTAGTAGTAGACTCCTCTGGGAATTAACATTGTTCTACAATAGGAAGGAAAATAAATGTTCCTTATTGCTGTTTAGGTGGTTTACAACGCAAATAAACTTGCTGATCTGGTTGAAAAGAAGAAGATGCAAAACTGGCTTGATTATTACCGACTAAAGTATGAGCGGAATCCATCAGAGAGGCCCACCACAAAGGTTTGTCGGTAAGAATGATTAGATAGCTATTTTGTTTTTTGATGTAGATTTTGGTTTGTACATCTCTAAACTGGAATACTGTATTAGTATCTTTAGTATTAATTCCTTGTGCTTTCCCTGAGTTTTGTTGCAGACTGGCTTTCTTGGATGTTTTGGTTCCAAGGTGGATGCTATTGACTATTACAAATCAGAGATCGAGAAAATTGGGAAAGAAGTAAGTTGTAGTTTCTGTACAACTAGATTGTTAGCTATTACATCTATGCTTTAGCGTATACTTTACATATTGCTCATTTTGATAGGGTTGAATGCTGATATTGTGTTTCCAAAATTCATTAGTGTTTGCTTACAGTCAACATGCATAATAACTTTAAATTAATGCTTTGCAATACACAGGAAGCTGAAGAGCGTAAAAAGGTCATGAAGGATCCAAAATCAGTTGTGCCAGCAGCCTTTGTTTCGTTTCGCTCCCGATGGGGTGCAGCAGTCTGTGCTCAGACCCAACAAACCAGCAATCCAACAGTCTGGTTGACAGAATGGGCTCCGGAACCTCGTGATGTTTATTGGAATAATCTGTCCATCCCATTCGTGTCCCTTACAGTTAGGAGGTTGATAATTGCTGTGGCATTCTTCTTCCTTAACTTCTTTTACGTCATCCCAATAACACTCGTACAGTCTCTTGCAAACCTTGAAGGAATAGAGAAGGCACTTCCATTTCTAAAACCCTTGATTGAATTGTAAGTCTACATTAACTTTCGGCTTTATGCTATTTCCTTGACTTTTCAGCATAGCTTATGGTAGTATTTTGCATGTTCTTTTGATGACATGCCCTGATTTCTGCTTGTCAACTATTATGCAGGCCATTCATTCATCCAAGGGTTTCTTCCTGGAATTGCTTTGAAGATCTTCCTTATAGTTCTTCCAACTATACTGATGTTTATGTCTAAATTTGAAGGACTGATATCACAGTCATCTCTGGAGAGGCGATCTGCATCAAAGTATTATATATTCTTGTTCTTCATTGTATTTTTGACGAGTGTAATTGCAGGATCTGCTCTCGAGCAGCTTAAAACCTACGTCCATACGTCAGCAAATGAGTATGTCCTCATGTCCTGTGCCACCTGACCTACTGACATTATCCCTACTGTATAAAATGTGATAGCACAGCATGGATACTGACTTACTGATTACTCTGTTGGCCAAATTGAGTTGTCATCTTTTTTCATGTATATATTGTGTGCTAGGTTTGTGTGGGTGATATAATTTCAGTCTGATGGTTAATTCTTGGGACAGATAGAATGCATAGTCCTTGTCATGTACAGATTTGTTAATTGTTAATTTCACAGGAGCAATAAACGGTAGAAGTATTAGTAGTGATGAGTAGTAAAAGAATTCAAGAGTCTAGGATAATATTGATAGCAACCTTGCTAGAAAAAAAAAGGTTAGGAGATTGATGCTCAATGTGATAACAAAACTTAAGTTTAGAAGGTAGACTGGTTGTTTGGTAGTACAATACAGGTTTGGCACTAAGACCTAACTCACTCCTGTATTAGAGAGGGTAACTTGATTGGGCAGAATATACTGTTACTGGAGCCTTTCTCAAGAACAGTTTAATGTTAGAGAGAGTCAACTCATGTGTATATGTTTCTGATAATCTATTCCTTGCATTCTCATAATGAAATTATAAAAGGCAGTCATGATTTCCAGAGTGTCTAAATTGCTTGTTTCTGCAGCATACCAAGGATCATTGGTGATTCCATCCCAATGAAGGCGACTTTTTTCATAACATATGTAATGGTTGATGGTTGGACTGGAATAGCTGGTGAAATATTGAGACTGAAGCCGCTGATATTCTTCCATCTGAAGAACTTGTTCTTGGTCAAAACTGAAAAGGACAGAGAAGAGGCAATGGATCCTGGCAGTATCTGCTTTGACTCAACCGAACCTAGAATACAGCTATACTTCTTGCTTGGCCTTGTTTATGCTGCGGTGACACCGTTCTTGCTTCCTTTCATATTGGTGTTCTTTGGGTTCGCATATGTCATCTTCCGCCACCAGGTACAGAACACATTGAGAGTTTACGGATTGTCAAACCCACTGGGGGTATTCAAAAGTGATTTTGAATAAGTTGCCTGATTTGAGTCCTGTGTGCTTGTGTTAGATAATAAATGTCTACAATCAGCAATATGAGAGCGCCGCGCAGTTCTGGCCTATTGTTCATGGGCGTATAATCACGGCGTTGATTGTATCACAACTGCTGCTCCTGGGACTGATGAGCACAAACGACTTCGAGCAGTCGACGCCTGTGCTCCTTGTTCTTCCAGTGCTGACCATTTGGTTTTACAAGTACTGCAAGAACCGGTTTGAGCCAGCGTTTGTGAGGAACCCACTGCAGGTATTTCACCGTGGCATATACTACATTGATGGTGGTATCTGGTATTATGTTGTCTGCGATGCGAGTTGCTGAACATATATAATGAAATGGTAGGAGGCGATGAAGACACCCTGGAACGCGCCCGGGAGCCCAACTTCGACCTGAAGGCGTACCTGGCCAACTCGTACCTGCACCCGGTGTTCAAGGGGGACGAAGACGACGACAGGTACTCGGTGGTGGACGACGACGGGTGGATGGGGGAGGAGGTGATCGTGCCGACGAAGCGGCATTCGAGGAGGACAACGCCCGCGCAGAGCAAGCACGAAGGATCGGACTCGCTCTCTGTGCCCGAGAGTGCTCTACAGAGATAGCCAGTAGTAGAGTAGTAGGTAGCCTGTACAGAATGGATGGAAATGAAATAGAAGGGAGATGGTGCTCCTGCAATTGCTTTGTTTTGCGTTGCTTTGGGTGTTGGTTGTTCAAGACAGGACATGCATGCACTGATGCACACATGTTGGTTCATTTGCAACCGATCCCATAGAACAGAATTCAAGAGAGCTGTGGGGGAGGACTGGGGAGAAAGTGCATGTTTACTGTAGCTCGGACAAAGAATCTGAATACAACAGTTATACATTATCTAATGAATTTGTTAGCATCCATTTCTGGAATTCTACATACATACGTACATCACCTAGCTTGCCTGCTCTCCTACCATTCTGGTAATCGGAGAACAGCCAAAAAAAAAAAAAGCAAAGAATTATCAAAATCAAGACAAAATTCTTGACGTATCAGTCAGTCAGTACTCAGCACATAGATGAGAGCAGAGCAGAGCAGGTCAGTCATGCCACCTGAGCAGCATCACGACGCATCTCATGGCGATGTACACCTTGGACCTCTGCACCTTGAGAGATCTGCCGAACCCTCCAGCTCCAGCGGCTGATCGACTCCTCTGCTGGCTCCCAACCTTCATGTTCATCCTCAGGCTTCCTTCCTTGCTGGTGCGACAGAAGCAGCAATGGCAGAACAGGCAGGCTTGCTGCGATATGTATGTATGGATGGATGGATAGAAGCTTGCTGCAGCTAGCTTCCCATGGCCTCTTATATAGCTACTAGCTGCAGGCTTAAGCAGACGCAGATCTCAGAGCTGCAGGACAGGAGAAAGTATTATTAGTTAGTTGCATACATAATTGCAGGCCCGGAGGAGAGGAGCGTGATGGGCATCACTGGCAACCCACGCCTGCATGCTGCTGCACCATCAGACATGGCAGTGAAAATTTGCGCTTCTTTATATCTGGACTTATATATTTTACTATACTGCAACTGCAATGGCCTCCATGATCCGATTCCTCTTGTCGGCTGCGTGCCCTCATCTGTATCAATCCACATGATCATGCATGTGTCGTCATGTGCGATGTGAGGTAATACTTGGTAGCTGCCTAAGCTTCCTCCATTCCAACTCGGATTAGATTACTCTGCTCCTAATACAAGAACTTGGCACAGCACACAAGAGATGCCCTGCTTGGTCACCTGCCTACGCCGAATATTTCTGTTTGATCTGCTGCTCACTGCCATTACGACACAGCAAGTTGGAGGCACGCAGAACAAACCACACACCCTGGCCTGTAACTGCAGCAGCAGACAAGAGGACGGGAGCTTAGAATCAAATCAAATATATATATAATCACATGAACGGTGAATGATGTTAGAAACCGCCCGGCGGTGAACACCGACGGCGAGGACACCGAGCCGGAGAAGATGAACAGTGGAAACACAACGCGAGAACACTTGATCACAAGAATTTTGGTGCTGCCAAATAACCGCAGCTTTTCTGATCTTCTCTTCTCCAATTTATTGAAAACGTAGAAATGTAGAGCAATGCAGTCACAGCGCTAACGTCGCGGGTAGTGCGCGTCCATCCCCACGCTCCACGTCCGTCAGCCATGGCTGCATGCTCAGGTTCATGACGAGCGAACCTCGGCCACTACCTCCTAGGCGCACGGCGACCATAAACATAGTGCTCGTGCGCATGCATAACAGAAAAGAAACATGCAGCTAACTAAATCTGGCGCAAGGATTAACTAACAATTCTCCTCCTAAGCTTTGCGCCGATTCTGTACATCATGGACCCCGATCAGAGAACGCAACTCACAGAGACGCTCCCGTGCCAAGGCTTTGGTCTGGATGTCCGCCAGTTGCTCTGCAGTGCCGATTGCATCGATCTCCACCTTGCCTTCTTCAACACACTCTCGAATGAAATGATACCTGACATCGATATGTTTGGAGCGGTCGTGGAAGACAGGGTTTTTGCTGAGCGCGATGGCGGACTGGTTGTCTATCTTCAGCTTGACGACGCCGGCTTCCTCGCCCTTGAGCTCCGCGATCAGCCGCGCCAGCCAAATCCCCTGGCAGGCTGCAGTGGTTGCAGCTATATACTCCGCTTCACAGGAGGACAATGCCACAACTTTCTGCTTCTGTGATTGCCAGGTGACGATGTTGTTACCAAGGAAGAAGAGGACGCCGGTTGTACTCTTGCGTGTGTCAATGCAACCCGCCAAATCGCTGTCAGAGTAGCCGATCAGGCTGGTTTCCCCCTTCTTCTTCCTCTGGTACCTGCAGCCATAGCTCAGTGTTCCTGCGATGTACCTGAGCACTCGCTTGACTACCCCCAGATGCTCAGTGGTTGGAGCCTCCATGAATCTGCTCACATATCCCACCGAAACGCCAGGTCTGGCCTCGAGTTCACCAAGTATCGCAGCGACCCCACAATGCTTCTGTAAAGTGTAGGATCAACAGCGGTGGCGGTGCTCATCTTACTGAGATTCAGGCGTGGCTCCATTGGAGTGCAAGTTGGATTGCACCCGGTCAGGCCCGCCGTCTCCAGGATCTTCGCCGCATATGCGCTCTGGCACACAGTGATGCCCTCCTCCGACTGGGATACTTCCAACCCGAGGTAGTAGTGTAGAAGTCCCAAGTCGCTCATTTTGAAGGTGGGCTGCATCTCCAACTTGAATTTGTCGATGTCGACTTGGCTCCCGCCCGTGATGATGAGGTCATCCACGTACACCCCACCACCAGACGGTTCCTTCCAGCACCACGGAGGTACACAGCGTGCTCAGAGCTGCTCCGCTGAAACCCGAGCTTGATGAGAGACGCATCGAGCTTCGCGTACCAGGCTCGCGGAGCTTGTCGGAGACCATACAACGCCTTGACAAGATGAAGCACCTTGTGTTCATGACCCCAGAGCATGAAACCGGGGGGCTGCTCGACGTAGACTTCCTCCTGCAGTTCGCCATTGAGGAATGATGATTTCACGTCCATGTGATGGACCGGCCATCCCTCGCTGGCGGCGTGCGTGAGCAGCAGCCAGACTGACTCAAGCCGCGCCACGGGAGCAAAAACCTCGTCAAAGTCGATCCCTTGGCGCTGCACATATCCCTTCGCGACGAGCCGGGCTTTGTGCTTGGTGACGATGCCGGACGCATCCTTCTTGGCCTTATAGACCCATTTGAGACCGATCGGCCGAGTATGGGGTGGCGGCTCGATCAGCCTCCAAGTCCCGCTTGCCTCGATTGAGGTCATCTCATCAAGCATGGCTTGACGCCAGCACTCATGGCGCATAGCTTGGTCGAACATCGCCGGCTCGACGTTGCTGGCCAGAAGAAGCCGCTCCTCCAGGTCCCGTGCGGCGTGCCCAGGCGGTGTAGCCTGCCCGAGAACATTGTCGATGCGCCTAAACCATAGGGGTGCATCTTCGTCGTGGTCGTCGTCCAGTTGCTCGCTGATGCCGGAGCTCGGAGGAGTCACGAACTCGATGCCGGGCTGCGGCAGGGGGCTCGATGCAGATTGTCCCCCGACCTACGAACCCGACACCAGTGTAGTCGTGGACGCTTCCAAGTTGGGCGAGGGCGAACGAGACACAGAGGAAGATGCCGGCATGCTTGTTGTGGATGTGCTGGTGATGATCACCTCAGGCACCTCCGGGTTTCCCTACTCGATGGTGAAGTCGCCGGGCTCGACGTCGTGCGTGGACGCCCAGCTCCACTGAGCCGCTTCGTCGAAGATGATGTCGCGGCTGATGTGGACGCGCTGTGTAGCTGGATCATAGACGCGGTATGCCTTGGATCCTGGCTCGTACCCGATGAAGATCATGCGGCGGCTTCAATCGTCCAGTTTCTTCAGGTTTGGCGTCGTGTTCTTGACATGTGCCACACACCCGAACGTCCGCAGATGGTGTACATCGGGCGCGCTTCCCGTCCATAGCTTGTACGGTGTCTTCCCACCAATACTCTTGGACGATGATCTGTTGAGCAGGTACATGGCGGTGGTGACTGCTTCCCCCCCCAGAAAACGCCGGAAGGCCCTTCGCCTTGAGCATGCTCCTAGCCATCCCCACGACCGACTGGTTCCGCCGTTCCACAACCCTGTTTTGTTGTGGAGTATATCTATACTGTGAGCTCGCGGTGGACGCCAAGCTGTGTGAAGTAGTCGACGAAGTTTGCTGCCGCGAACTCACCACCGCGATCGGTTCTCAGCGCCAGCAACTTCTTCCCAGTCTTGCGCTCAGCGGTGGCTTGGATACGCTTGATCGCTGTCGTGGCTTCATCTTTGGAGGGAAGAAGGCACACCAACATATATCGTGAATAATCATCCACAAGGAGTAGGAAATATCGGTTCCCGCTAGGAGTCGCCGGTGTGATTGGGCCGCACAAATCGCCATGGAGGAGTTGGAGTGCTTCGGTCGAACGCCGTAGCGCCTTCTGCGGGAACGGGGCGCGGCGCTGCTTCCCGGCCAGACACGCCTCGCACACCTGCTCCACCCGAGTGATGGGCGGCATGCCGTGGACCAGCTCCTCCCGCGCCATCTTCCGAAGCGCGGTGAAGTTGATGTGGCCGAAGCGTGCGTGCCACGTCCATGAGTCGTCGTTGGTGTGCGCCGCCAGGTAGACTGGACGTGCGATGGTGACGTCGAGCACATACAGCCTGCCGGGGTTGCGCAAGATCTTCGCGAGAAGGTGTCTGTCCTCGTCATGAACGCGCATGACTCCATCCTCCACAAGCACCTGGTAGCCTCCCTCGTCGAGCTGGCCGACAGAGATTATGTTGGCGGTGAGCCGCGGCAGGTAGTAGACGTTGGGGAGCGACCTGTGCTCCCTGTTCTTGCACTCTAGTAGGACGGTTCCGATTCCCTTGATCTGGGCGACGGAACCATCCCCAAAGCGCACGGACCCAGAGACAGCAGTGTCAAGATCGGCGAACGCCGCGCGCAATCCGGACATGTGGTTCGAGGCTCCGGTGTCCAGGATCTAGCAGCATGGGTCCCGATCCTCGACGGCGTCGAAGGTGGCGAATACCTTCTACTCGACGATGTGGA